CCCCCACGTTTTATAGAACAGACAGTATTTCGAATTTGAAGAATTCTTTAGATTATTTGAACATTAGAATTTCTATCTATCTGAACATTTGAAATTTTGAGTTTTAGAAAAACAATTAAAATTGGGTCATGACCTATTGGATTTCAAGTCTAATTTTCGAAAAAGCAGAGGACCCTATGGTGATTTTTTTTTTTGCAAAATTTTTTTATACTGTATTTTCCAGATAGTTCTGTCTCGAAAAAAGTCAGAAAGTTCACCGTCAGTCGTCTATTATGTATTCCCCAAGAGTCAAAAACTATTGCAGAGAATGTCATCTTACATTCTTTGACAAAAAATGACTCCATTTTACTAATATTCATTACGGATTTCGCCAACCACCAGTCAATCTCACACAAGAAGAGTTTGAAAAAATGTCCAAATGGTCATTGAAGAAGAGGGTCTACACATGCCCTGTTTGCTTGGAGTACTACCCCAACATCAATCGCCTAGTGGACCACGTCCAGGATTTCCACCCCATCCAATGCCCGGAAAACCCCACGGCTTACACACACCCCTGGTCCTTCAAGAATGGGCAAGAATTGTCATCAAATATTATGCCTGGTATGTTCATTTTTACACTCATTTTTTCGCACATTCCTCGCACAATTCGTTCATATTTCAGAAAAGCAATGGAATTATGCCCAAAAATGTCACCGTCTATGTCCAAATGCTCTTCGATTATGCCCAGAAACCCTCCGATTATATACGCGATATTCTTCTTTTATCCTAACAAGTATTCCTTCTTTCATCCCAAATATTCCTTCTTTTTCACAATAAAAAACGATTTATTCACATAAAAATCACTTCGATTTCTTGGGAAAAAATACTATTGTAGTTTTTATGTTTGGGATATCAAAATAACCTAAAGTCATAATTTCAGACTAATGAAATCGATGAAAATAAGTGCTGAACGTTTTTTAATCACTGAAGATCCGAACTTTCAATTTTCGAAATATCTGAAAATCAGCATTTATATAGAACTTCCAAATTTCGATATATCAGAAAATTGGAAATTCAAAATATCAGAATATCAGAATTTTTGACTAGCAAAATTTTAAGAATTTCACAGAAAACCAAAATTTTAGACTAATGAAAACCATGAAAATAAAAGTTTTAAACATTTTAATTGCTGAAAATCATAATTTCAGACATGCAATTCCGAAAATTTTCTAAATATCAAAATCTATAGAAACCTGATATTCACATTATGGAAATTTCTGAAAATCAGAATTTCGAAACAATGAAAATTTCGAAAATAAGGATTTTAAAGTCAGAATTTCAGAATATTAAAATCCCTGAAATTCTGAATTTCAGACAAATAAAACATCTGAACATCAGAAAATCCACATCTCTGACAAAAATTGACTTAAAATTATACTTTGGTCTGAAGTCCATTTTCAGAATTTTTCATCTGAAATACTATCACTTTGAGCTCAATTATCTCCGTTCCTGGGAGGGATATTAAAAATCTTTCAACTGATGAAACATTGCTGATATTATGATAAGCAGTTCATCAGTTGACAATGTTCGGATATCTTGCACAGGAATTGAGATAATTGAGCTCAAAGTTGACAACTTGCGCGAGCTTCTAAATATTAGAGCAAATACGTTAACTCATGTTTTCTCGTTTAAATATGTTCTTAAAAAATTAGAATTTGAATATAAATCATATTTATTATTTTAATAGTCCAGAATCATGGATGAGATCAAATAGAAATTTTATTAAGTATATTCGAAGTGAAGATATGTTTCTGGAGAGAAAGGATGAAAGAGGAATAGAAGAAAACAATAGGGATGGAACACAAAAATGGATAACAATGAGAAGAACGGAATGTTTGAGCAAAGAGGAAGCTTAGACACTTGTCTAGGAAGAGGAGCAAGGAAATGAGGAGAAAAGAAGAGAATGGAACAAAATAACCAATCACAATCTATGGATAAATCTGTTCAACTTTTCAATTTCTTTACAAATTTTCAAAAATTGATCCCAATTAATAATGGGGCCACTTCTGTTCAACTTCTCAAAATATTTTTTCTTTGTTTCTTGAAACATGGATAAGCGGTATCCAGCTGGCACCTTCTCCCCGAGGTTCCTGATAGTTGCTGGTTTGATGATCTGGCAGAAGAACTCCATTACCTGGGCCTTCTGAAAAGAAAATATTGATTAATTTGAAAGCTACCCACTTCAAAGGAAAAAAGACACTTACCGACCACTGTAGATAATCCAGGGAACAGTTGAATGGAAGTGTCAGGGATTCCAAGTAGTTCAAACTTCTTTTATTCTCCACCATATCGGGTTCCCTCGCATATCCAATCTCTGCGAATCCCACAAGATTTCCAAGAAAAGGTTGGAGATCCTCGAAACTGGTCTGCACTCGGAGAATGGACACAGGCCCGACTGATCCTATATCCTGAGGCGTATTCAAATCAATAACATCGAAGACTATAAGTTGCTCAACATCCTCTTCCTCTTCTTCTTCTACATTCTCAATCGGCTCCTGCGTCTCTTGCTTTACTGGAACTTTCAGGTGTTCAACGTATTTGACGTCAACGTCGGGAATTTCTAGCTTAATGTTTACGGGAAATTGTTGATTGGCCACTGGTCCCTCCACTTGCTGGTCATGAAGTTGTTCGTTGTGTGAAGCATCCTGTAGATTTGCGAATCCGATGTCATCATTTTCGATTTCTGGCTCAACAGCTACTGGTTCTTTTTCTTGAGTATGAAGTTCTTTATCTATTGGAGCCTCTTGTGGGTTGTAAAATTCCATTTGATCAAGACGGAATTCCATCTGAACCGCTTCTTGAGGAACACCAGATTGGACTCCTTGTTCATCTTCACCGATTTGACTGCTTGGTTCACGTTGAGCTACCAATCCTTCCTCCAGCCGCTCCTCATTTCCTTCCAACTGATCTCCAACCTTCTGCTGAAGTTCACCAGTTATCATTTCCCGCTCGCATAAATACGAAGCAAACTGGAAAAAGAAATATTTTGAAATTAGCAACCTTAACATTATCAACTCACATCGTCTCCGTAAATATTCTCCGTTGTTTCAATTCGAAAAATGACATCTGCAGCATCTACATTTTCAAATTCATACGAATTGAAAATTCTTTCAAAATTCGCCATTTCCTTCGGCAAAGCAGGAACTTCCTTATTGAAAAACCATCGTAGAATGGCCATTCTCTTCTTTTTGAACCATTCGGACATCTGAAAAAATAAAAACGAATTTTGGAACATGTCAAGCACTGAAATAGTAAATTTAATACTCACAAATTTCGCATTGCAGCCAGTTTTCCTTCTCAGCTCTTTTTTGTTTCTTCCAAGAAACTGCTGCTCTTCAAAAAGTTTTCCTAAAATCTGTTCGACTTGGTAATCATCTCTTGCACTTCTTCTATCGTTCATCTGTCTGGGCTTTGGTATTCTAGCTTGACCGCCTTGTTGCTCAACATTTTGACGGTTTGTTTCGATTGAGAGTTCCTCTCTAATCGTCACTTGTTGATCAACTAATCCCTCCACATCATTATCTTCTTCTTGCTCTCTATCTTCGTACTGATTGTCCATCTCTTCTCGAAGTTCATTAGCCGCTTCATCCATCTGGTAGTCAACCGCTTCATCCATCTGGTGTTCCAAATCCGGCTCATTGTGATCCCCTTCATTAGCGTTCTGTGCATTTAGCAATTCGTCTTCCTCTTCCTGTTCCACATTGCCATCTTTGGTCTCTCCCTGAAGCTCCTTTAACACTCTAAAGCGTTCTATAAAGTAGTCCGCTACCTAAAAAAAAAACTTTGATGTCGATAATTCAATTTTTCACTCACGTCATTGCTGCATACATCTTCTCTCATTCCAATCTCATAAATTTTATCGGCGTCCGTGTATGCTTCATACTTCTTGAAAAGTCTTTCGAAATTGGCCATTTCCTCTGGCAACACCGAAATTTCTTTTTTGAAAAATGATTTTAGAGTCTCTTTTCTCTTCATTCTCAGCCAGTTCCGTATCTGTAAAAATTAATTTAAACATGTGAAAATAGTTCCAATACTTACCTTTTTCCAGGGGTGTCCCGTTTTCTCTTCCAACGCTTTGACCCGAAATCTAAAAAATTGCTTTTTTTGGAAAATTGTCTCCATGATGCCAACGAAGCCAGCAAGTTCCTGCTGCTGCTTCAACTTGCGTTGTCGAGTGAACCAATGATGATCCTGCTCAATGTGATCCTCTTCATGAGCATCCTGTTCATTTTCAAATTCCTCTTCTTCCTGTTCTTCGTGGACGTCTTCCATATCCTTCCGGATGTTAGCCATCACAACCTGTCGGTCCACGAAATATTCGGATAACTGAAAATTCTTTAATGGCGATAATTTGAATATTTCCACTCACGTTATAGCCGGACACATTTTCTTTCAGTTCAATGAAAGCCACTGCATCGGCGCCCATGGGACTATTGTACTTTTGGTGAATTCTCTCAAAGGTTGCCATTTCTGTTGGTAAAACAGAAATTGCCTCTCTAAAGTATGACTCTAGGATATCTCTCCTTTTGGTTTTAAGCCAGTTTGAAATCTGAAAATGATTGATTTCAGCATGGGAAAATATTTCAGATGCTTACCTTGCTCCAAGGGTATCCCGTTTTCATTTCCAAAGCTTCGTTAGAAATTGCAATGAATTGTCGTTCTTGGAAAACTTTTTCCATGACGTCATTGAAGAGGTTGAGTTTCTGTTGCTGCTTCTGTTTAATACTCTGATGCCTAATCTCATCGTCTGCATTGATTTGGACCTCTCCTGGATTCTCAACATCAACTTGATCATTTTCGCCAATTTCCGCAATTGCCTCACATGGAGAAGCTTGTCGATGTTCTTGATCTTCGAGAAACTGACAGTTCACTGGGGAGGTTTGGTGTATTCCTTGTTCTTGAAGCATAGCCAACACTCTCCATCGCTCCAACAAATAGTCCGCTAGCTGAATAAAAATCTTTGAAGTCGATAATCATTATTACCCCTCACATTATAGCCGCACACTTTTTCTCTTTGCTCAATCAAACGAACTGCATCAATACCCAAGGGATTATTGTACCTTTGGTGAAGTCTCTCGAAATTGGCCATTTCAGTCGGTAAGACCGAAATTTCCTTTTTGAAATACGCCTCCAGCGTATTTCTCCTTTTGTTTCTGAGCCATTTCGAGATCTGTGAAATATTTATATGTATTGTGAAAATACAGAATGTGAAAATACCGTAAAACCTTTAGTATTATTTAGAAGGGCCCCTTTAATAGAAGGACCCCTCTAATAGAAGGGCTCTCTAATAGTAAGAGGGGTTTGGAAAAATAGAATTGAACCCTGTAATACATAGAAGGGCCTCTCCAAAATGTGTCTTGAAATAAAAAAAATCCGGTTTTGGTGAGATTGACAGATTTTCATAAATTTTGAACGAAAATTCGTCGAATGTTACAATGAAAAATTTCAAGAAAAACGGCCTGAAAAACAGAAGGACGCCCTCTAATTGAAGTGCCCCTGTGATAAAAGGGCCCTCCGGAGGTACCTTGAAAAAATAGTAGGGTCGGCCCTTCTAATACAGGTTTTACGGTATCCCAATACTTACCTTGTTCCAATCGCCTCCAGTTACCACTTCCAAATTTTTAGTTCGAATTCTAAAATATTGTTGTTTTTGGAAGATTCGTTCCATGGCATCATCGAACGGGGTTCCTGTTTCTTTGCGTAGTTTTTCACGCTCCAAGTTGCGTTGTCGTAGGAACCACCTCTCGATCTGAAGGTTTTTAAAACTAATAAAAATTTCAATTTCAACAATGCGACACTTACCTTTTTGCTCGGCCAGCGAAGCTTTCTCTTCAAGTTAATATTTTTAAAATCAGAAAACAACTGGTTCTTCCTAAAAATTTCCATCAGTATCAGTTCGGCTTCTGTTTTCGGGAGAGGAGCCAAAAGCCCATGCTCTTTTCTGAGGTCGTTCAAGAATTTGCTCACCTGAAAATTATTGGATTACTTTATAAATCTAAAGGATTTTTTTTATATTTCTTACTCTTCGGGGCGCCCAGTGAATTTTATTTTTCAATTCAATGTTCCCATAGTCGTTAAAGAATGGGTCCTTCGCAAAGATTTCCATCAGGATTGGATGAGCTTGTTCTTCAGGGAGTGGAAAATTGGCTGAAATCCCATTTTCCCGTCGGCAGTTATCAAAAAATTCATTTATCTGAAAATTACTTATTTGCTTTCTAAATGGAGAAAAATCCTTTACTCTTTGGATCGGCCAACGTGTCTTTTCTCTCAACTCCGGATTTCTGTAATCACGGAATTGCGGATTTTGATGGAAGAGCTCCATTAAAATCGGTTCCGCTGCCTCATAAGAGAGTTGAGTCCTCTGAAAACGTTTTTTAACACTTGCAGCAAAAAAACCTTTTACCTTTTTATATGTTCTCTTTCTTTTCAGTTGTCTTCTTGAGCTAGTTGGATCACTGAATTCTTCCGATTGCTGATCGTCGGTTTGGTCCTCGACATCCTGAAAATAGTTATTTGAAAATATTTCATTTTGTAAAAAATATAATACCCAAGCATCAGAGTCAGATTCCAATTCTGAAGAAGACGAAGATGAAGACACATATTTTTTAGAATCCTTGGTTTTGCGAATATTTCCAGGTTTCTTCTTAATTGAGCTATCTTCAAAGTCATATTCACTATCATCAGAAGTGACACATCTTGCGGACACTCTTTTGGGTCTTGATACCTAAAAAATCATTTTTGAAAAATAAGAAATTTTTCCAGGGAAATTGTACCTGAACATTCTTTTCCGACTCCGATTCCGAAGAATCAGCAAGAGCTCTTCTTTTTGGGTTTGGCCCTTTTGATGCTTCAGGAGCTGGTGCCTTGCGAGTTCTTCTGGCAATCGATGTCTGCAAGATAAGAATAATGAGCCTTCAAGACCCCTTGGAAAAGATAACTCACTGAGAAAACGTTTTGGGAAGACATAGTTTTTTGTTCCTTGGTGTAGAAAGTCTGAAAATTAGAATAGATTGAGCAAAAAAGTGAATCGAGATAATTATGTTTAAAAGAAGGAACATTCAGAAAGTAATCGAAATTAAAGTTTGAGGGATATGCGTTTTTAAAAACTTCCCAACTTTATTTAGAGCCAAGTTTGACAATTTCGAAAGTCTAAAAAATTTTAAAGATTTTTGAAGAAAATCTGAAAATTGAGCTAGTCTAATTTTGAAAATTAGAATTATTCAGGGATTTTATGATAAATTCCCAAATTCTGTGAATAAAAAGTTTTCAATAGATTTGTTTTACACCTTCTGAAATTTCAAAGTAACCAGAAACTTGAAACCTATCAAAACCATTTCCCAAATTTTCCAAAAAATACAGAATAAACCTATTCGAAAATTGGGGAACATTTTTCCAATACATATGAAAACAAAAAGAAATTGAGAAGAAGGCATATTGAAGAATTTCGGGGAAGAAAGACGGTTGTGGACCATTGCTGTTTGTAGGTGAGAATAGAGGAAAGACGACAAGGCCGAAAGATAGTCTGTGCGCACGGTCGAGACGTAGAGACGCAGCTGCGAAAGTATTTGATGTCGCCTGGAGGTAACAGATTGGTTGTGCGCAGAGAGTCTTTTTTGGGGNCGGCAGACGAGCAGGGTGTCTTTCTCATTACACTCTCTTGGTCAGACCCATCTCAAAGAGACAGCGTGGCACAAACGGTCCGTTTTAACGTTTTCGAAGTTATGGTGAACGAACTCTTTAGCGTTCCTTCAACCTCAATACTGTGACAGGGGGCAAAAAATAAGATGTAGAAATTTTAAAGCAAAAATATACAGAAATCAATATTAAAAATTCAAGGTATCTCTTGAAAATAGTCAGGGGAGATGATTTTCGAATTTTTGAAATATTCAAAACTTTGGGATATCGGATTTTTTGTTTTTTTAAAGCTTGAGTTTCAGAAAAATCATCTAAAACTCTGAAGTTTGGAAATGCCCAACATTTTCAAGCACTTTGAACGTCTGAAAATTTCAAAGTTTCAATTATTTTGAGATTGTGAAATTTCTTTCAAAATTTGATTTAGAAAGGTTAAATTAGTCATGTTTCAAAAATTATATGAACTTGAATACTAAAAGTTAGAAAATCCTGCCTTTATATATTTTTACCAGTTTGCAACATTTTTTACTAAAAATGAATTTTATTAAAATTCTCAAAATTTCGAAAAAAATACGATTTGATACATACAGAATGTAGGCATAATGTGGAACTCAAAAAATAAACAACGGAAGTTTGGTCATGTATCGTCGAAGAGGGAGGGAGAAAATGAGAAAAAAGAAGGAGAGAAAACCAATAAAATTATCACAAGCTCAGGATTGGAATATCTTATTGAGTTCCTGACAAATCATCGAAGTGATCGGAAACTTGACAGCCGAGCTCCAGACTCCTGAAAACCAACAAAATGACCGAAAATCAACTACATCTTATTGATCGGTACTGTACATACGCCGTTCAATTTGAAGCGCGAAAGCGAGGGTGGCAAGACACTAGCTGTCTGCGTCTCTACCTCAAAAACCATAAAACCTATCGAAAACATTTCCTAGATTTCCCAAAAAAAACCTATTTCAAAATTAGGCATATTTTTCTAGTCCTTAAAAAACAAAAAGAAATTGAGAAGAAGGGAAATTTGAACAATTCGGGGAAGAAAGACGGTTGTGGACCATTGCTGTTTGTAGGTGAGAATAGAGAAGAGACGACAAGGACGTAAGATAGTCTGTGCGCACGGTCGAGACGTAGAGACGCAGCTGCGAAAGTATTTGATGTCGCCTGGAGGTAACAGTTTGGTTGTGCGCAGAGAGGCCGATCGCAACCCCCGCAGACGAGCAACATGTCCACTTTTAAAGAAACGTCCTCTGACCTCCCCACAGAGGCAGTGGAGGAACAAACGGGCCGTCTGATGGTCAGTGATGCTAACTAGAGAAGATTCTGACTGGAGTATGAAACTTAGATATGATACATACATATATCATTCGAAAGCTGAGAATGAGCCATTTTCAAATATATTTTTTGATTTTGCTTCGGACGTACCAGGTTCGAGAAAATTGGGTTTGAAATCTGATTTTCAAAAAACCAAAGGGTTTTTTTTCAAAAATCTTTTTTTCGAAAAACATGAAAATCTACTGGGATCAAAATTTTCTTGAATTTTGCCTATATCAAAGTTCCATACTCCAGTTACAATGTCCCCTAGTTAGCGTTTTTTCAACCCAATTTAACTCAATTACTCAGCAAATTTTTGGCACATGTGCCGCTACTTGGGGCACCGGTGCCGCTGCAACGCGGTAATCGTGCCCGGGGGGAGGGGCACGCATGTATTTTGCGTGCCGTTACCGTGCCGTTACCGTGCGCATGTGTGCCGTTCTTTGAATTTTTTTTTCTCAAAATCGGATAAATTCGTCGACTTTCTTCGAATTAAACAGTTTATTCGATCAGAAGGTCGACAAAAAAAAAGCTAAAAATTGAATAAAAACAGTGATGAGAAAAATTAAAGTTGTGTTTAGAGAAGATTGTGAAAAGGAAGTTGATGAGTTTTTTTGTAATTAATTTTCTCCCTCGTCTTCTCCAGCTTCGTTCGCATTGGGCTTGGCAGTATGTCTCTGAAAGAATGTTAAAGATTAAAAAACATGAAAATCTACTGGGATCAAAATTTTCTTGAATTTGGTCCATATCAAAGTTCCACACCCCAGTTACAACGTTCCCTAG